ATAGTGATTACAGAATGAGTTTGCATTTTGTTACAAGAATCCTAAGAAACAAGTGCTGCTGCAATTATGTTTTGCTATGTCTTTGTGCAATGCAATTACTAGTTAAAACACCAAGTTCGTGGTTGTGTCTTCTGTTATTAGTGTCATACATAGCTTACACAAGCTGAGTTATAATTCGTGGGGAAAAAAGTATATATTCTGAAAAAGCACTTTGGATGCGTGGATTTTAGGGATATACTCTTGACTGAATGTCAGAACTATGTTAGTGTCTAGTTACAGGGACGGAAGTTTGGAGAATAAAGGATTAGTTTAGCTGTAAACCTGCCTTTGTAGAGTTATTGAAATTGAAAGGACTGAAAAACAGGTAAGAGCACAGAGTTTTAGATTCATGAAAACTGCAGTAGCTAATTACTTGATTTTGCGTTTTTGGATTCTTATTATTGGTGTCAACAGGCACATCAAAAAACTCCATATATGTGGGAGCACGAAATTAATTATCCATATATACGAATATAAGTAAGTAAATATGACGAGTGTGTTGCAAAAACAATGCTTACAGAAACAGAATATCAGCTGCTTTCTGTTGCGACTGAAAGATTTGTGGGTAAAAATCAGTCCTTCTACTGAAGTTATTTCTAAAGGTGGCATATTTTTTTTTCTCCTGTTTAAAGGTAAAAAGAAAGCAGCTATTATTTTGGTGTAACGCATTCAAAAAAATTTTGTTTTTTTCCTTTTTAATTTTTTCTATGAATGGGTTTACTTAATAAAATGTTTAGTTCCAATAATTGCCTTTTGTACAGTCTGAAAGTTAGAATTTCATACAGATATTTAATGTGTAAATTCTATAATGATGAGATATTTTCATACCTTAATAAGTAAAAGCAATTTCAAGTAATGGAGAGGCATTGTTTTTCTTTTCTCCAGTATTTTCTATAAGCTGTCAAGAAGATTATTCTCGGTGTTTTAAATAATGGTAGGAGGCTAGAACTGAGAACGGTTTATAAGCCATCTTTCTATATTAAGCCTAAAGCATTTGGATGGTTTTTGCTCCTTAATCACACTTAAAAGTAATCATTTTTAAGTTTTCAAATCATATAACAATACTTACAGGTAGATTGGAACTTCAAAAAATTTGAGACAGTAAACACTTACATACTTCTCTAAATATGCAAGTTAACTCTACAAGTTAGAATGATCCTCTCCCAAGATTATTTTTTTCCAAATTCCTCCCTACTCTGTTCCTCCTTCCCATTTATTTTTATTTATTTTTATATAACTGAAAAGCCTTTTGAAAATGTAGACATTAAGATTTTTACTTTGTAATTTTACTGTGTGAAATAGTTCCTTTATGATCATGTTACTAAGTGATGTTTTTATGATGTGTTATTTTACTGAAAAATAGGATATTGTGTTGAAATTAATTTGCACTTGAAGCGCCCGTGATGTGACTGTACAGCATCTGCTAACCTGCTTTTCATCGTTAATTGCATGACCAAAACTTTTTTTTTCTGATTGGAAAATGTTTTCAATCGGGTATACTGTTCACAATCACTTAGAAACAAACAAACAATCCACAACAAACCCTCAGAAATAACAAAACAAGTTTTCTTTCTAGACGCTTCTTTGTTAATGCAATTTCTCTTAGTTGCATAAAAACCACAGCCAGCTGTTATTATTTTTAAACTGACTTTTCCTGTTGAAATATTCTTGCCCCAGAACAACAGCTTCATGCTTTGTTGAGGCTTCCTGCAATCTGTTGACTTTCGTTCATATCAGGAGAAAGAGTTCTGTGCAATACTCCAACAAAATTATTCAGTATTACTCAGTATAACCTTAAAAGATAATGTAACTAAATTTAGTAGCTGGCAAAAGTCTGAATAATTGCTAATGGTATCCTGTCAGAGTGAATCAGAAACTCAATACCGGACAGAGCAGTAAGCGTTACTCATTTTTAACACTGCCAGCAGAAATAGCAGAATAAATGGGAAGGTGCAGTGCTGTGAGTTATCCACTTAATTGGCACCTCGTAAAGCTGACCTTTACATTTCAAAAGTATAATGTATATCTTCTGTACACATCAAGAAGAGAAATCATGAAATTGACAGACTGGACTCCTCATTATAAAAAAAATATATAATGCATTTTACATTGACAAATAATTTCTGGAGATTCTGGAGACCATCGAAAACCCATTTTCACATTTGCAGACAAATGGGTAACACTTGAATGATCAGCTATTTAAGGTCACAGTTTAAAGCAGAGAGCTCTACCTGTTCCAAATCAAATTTCACGTTTGAAAAGGAGTTTAAAAATCAGCTATATGTGCAGTGTCTGCAAATATAATTTAACCTTCTAAAAGAAACAAATTTGCACATATATCTATATACAAGCGCATCTCATGATGTTAAGTGTCATAAAATTGGTCAATTTGATTAAATCTATTTATAACTATGTAATAATGGACACAGTTATATGTGCATTATTTAATGTTTTACTTTAGGAAAGGAAAGCTAGTTGTAAAATGCTCCATGACATATTGAAAAACACACGGTGTGTGTTTTTCATATAATCATATATCATAACTTGCTTCATAATTCATAAATATTGGGGTGAAATTTTGCTCTAGGCATATTTTGGTATTTGCTGCATATGTTTTTTGGCAGTATGTTCCGAATGCCAGTCTGTTGTATTATTCCATCTTTATTTCATGACTCAGTAATTACAACAGATTTTTGTAGGTGTACTGCCTAGTGAAATAAAAAAAAAAAATGATCTTTGTCAATGCATTTAAATAAATACTAAGAAAGCATTAGCTGTGTTTAATCTCATTCTCAGTATTACACAAAATTGATCCAATGTTTTATTACGCTCTGACAATAATATACAAAATAGTACCTAAAGCAGGGGGGGTATAATTCACAGAATTTCAGTGTTCTTAAGAAGAATGAAGGTAAAGCTTAAGAGAATTAATTGCAACCTTGGTTGTAGAGCGCTTTGGATTATCTCTCCTGATCATTTGATTGAAATTTTTTTTTTCTACACATGCTTTCTTAATACAAGATCAGAATAATTACAGCCAAGTAAATGCCTCAAAAATGTGTTTCTACTGAATGAAATAATACGTTAAATTGCCCTTGTCCATGCTAATACTTTCTTTTTGTTTTCCCCAGCTATTTTAATGAATTGCTTAGTAGGAAGAATGTTTACAGAAAGAATTGCTTTCTCTTAGCGGTTTTCAGTAATTGTTTTTGAAGTTATCAGTCTCAAAAAACAGCAGTCAAGAAACATCATAACAAGAAATTGCTTGGACAGTCATATTATAGATCACAGTGCACGCTCAGTCCTAACTACAGACATAGTTAAAGATCTCTGGACACTACTTGAAATGATTTGATAAATGTTATTCAAATATGCTAACTAAAACTGCCACCACACATCGAACAGGGCAAAATGGGTTAGAGGCTAACGCTGCATCCATATGTAGGTAATTTAATAGAACATTTCCTTAATCAGTTTTCTGAATATAAAAATAATTGGTAATCATGTTCCTCTGGGATTATGCAATGACACTAGATCTTCTTTAGAAATAGTTCTATAGAACGCACTGTTTTACAGGCAGTTAATCTCAAAGTCCTTATCCACACCAGAATAGTATCGCTTCCAAATTGTAACGTGCTGGCACAAGAACCTGTTTAATTTGTTGGCTAGTGCGAGTTAGTTAAGAGTTGAATGGGGAGAGGTGTGGCCCATCATTTCTGGTGTCCCTGGTGGAGAAGGGGGAGATGGACTTGCAACACAAGGCAGTAGCTTTTAAATCCCCTTCCTTAAACAAAAAACTGTCTATACTTCCAAAATTCTTTAAATCTGCAATTAGCAGTACGGATGGAAAGCTAATACAATTGTGTTCAAAACAATAAATGTGCGTGATTTTGTTTGCCATGATGAAGTGAAAAAACAAGCAGGATAATTTTTGTTCTTGTGTTCTATGGATGAGTCACTAGGCTAAACACAAAACTAATAGTTGAGAACATCAAGGTTTCATGAAGAGGTATTACTATTATAGTTCTTAAAACTTAATCAGTGAAATAGAGAAAAATCCTATATGTAAAGATGATGATACTCTTAAGAAATATTTCTTGACAATTTTTACAGTAGAACTTGATATTAAAGAGGACTTTTTTAACAAGATGATACGCAGCCTGCTTAATCTTTTAATATTAAAAGGAATAAGACCTCGTCTGAAACAAGAGTTACTAAATTTCTCATAACCTCATGTCTTATGTACACCTTTTCATAGTGTGTACAAAACAGTGTTAGATCATAATTATCTCCTTGCGTGAAACAGTGCTCATGTTTTATCATTTACACTTTGTCTGGGTGTAAATTACAGTCAGTCCCAAAATGTTCCCTCAGGACCAGATTACAAGAAGAAAGATTGAGAATGAGGTCAGAAAAAAAATGAAAGTGAGAATCTTGCTTGAACTACCTGAATGGGATTATAAGCAAAAAAAAAAAAGAAAGGGTTATTCATAGTTTCTTAGATTGTGACTGATACAGTCAGCTGACTTCACAGTTTCATCCCAGTTGTGCTTTACAATTACTCTTGCTTCATATTCTGCATATAGAGGTACACCAGTGCTCCATTGACAACCGTATTTGAAACAGTAGCGAAATTCGGTACGCCATAGGAGGTAACATGTTAGCCTGACTGAACACATCGAGCAGATCACACGGATTGAAGACAACGATGGTGCTTAATTACTTATCACCTTTTATTTTTAGAGTTCACCCGGGCCCTGTTATAGTTCCCCATTGCTAAAGAAACGCATAGGGACAGACCGCACTAAATGAATGAATAAATAAATAAATAAATAAATTATCCTGTCTTAGGTTCATACTGAAGTTTTGCCTTTCCTCACTCTCTCCCCCCTCCCCCAACTTTCTCACATAATGCAATGAGAAATAACTGCCTTCATTACTGGAAGCACTCTGTTCTTTATTTTCATTGCTCTTTTTGCATCTTCATTTTTTATTTTAAAGGCCTCTATTATTTTTAAAAAAGAGACTACACTGCTAAAAGGTGTTATTAAAGATCTGTACCAAATTCTGTAATTTGCTCAATGGTGCAGCTTGGTTGCAGGTATAATTTTTTATTCATTTTTTATTCGAGTGATCTTGGCAGTAGAAGAAACTCTAACGCACAAGAAGTTGCTGAAGTTCATGACACAAGTTCATGAAGAGCGTGAATAGTTCTAGTTTTGTGAATAAGACATAAGAAGAAGCTATTCTAGTTTTTGAGGAGTTAGTTACAACTAAGGATTAGGTCAGCAGTTAAGATGTAAAAGACTGTGAAACACTATATTCAAAGAAAAAAAAATTGAAAAAGGTAGAATTTGGCAGTTAAAATAAAAAGGAAATATACAGATCTGTGAAGATACAAAGTTGGTACAAGAATTTAATGAGGAAACTATCCTGTTGAGAGTACAGGAAAGCAGGTTTGCTGGATGGCAATTTTGGAACGGGAACATACTGAAGGTATGATAATGGCCTGTTCTGATGCTGACAAGGAGATCACAACACTAATTATGCATTTACCAGGGCCTTTCATTGACCTGAAAATTGAAATATAATTAGAGAGGGACATGAAAGGAGATATTTCTAGGAATAGATGTAAAGCAACGACATAAGCACACGTGAGCAAGTTAAGGAACGATGAGGACTCCAGAAATATTCTGAAATCACATTTGAAAATAGGGGAAGACAATGGAAAGTATGTGTCTACTGCCTAACCAACTTAATAAAGAAGTATTGGGTGAAATAAGTGAGTCTGAAATGTTTAACGCCTTTGCATTCACATTTAAATTACCGGTAAATGTGCACTCAAAGCAATTACTATTAATTATTAAGACAACTAAAACAAGACTAAGGAACAAGTAGGTCTGGAGTAAAACAAGTTTCTTAGAGTAAATAAACTGCACATCTAAATCAGGATGAAGTGATGAATTGTACCAGCTACACTCCTTGAGAATTTCTTAATACTTCAAAATGATCACTGCATCAATAGGGCTCTAGATGAATGAGGGTAATGTAACACATCTACACAAGCAGAGAAAGGAAGATTAAAATTTTGAATAAGTCAAACTAATGTTGATAACAAGGGAAGTTTTTACTTGACAGTTTAAAAGCTTCCGAAAGTGAGGAGAAACAACCCAAACTCTAATGCCAAAAACATTCCGTTAGAGAACTCTAATTTATTTCTAGACATAACACTGGCTTTAATGGGCCTATTAAAGAAAAAAAAAAGTTACGAGCTATTGTAACTACAGTATAGCTTTCTTATAAGCAAAAAGGGGAAATAGTATCTTTATTGAAGTTAAATGCACAGTGATAGAAAATTCTATTCCTACTGCAGTTCCTATCAGATAAATAGCTGAAAATATTAAATGGAACATAACGAGGTGAGATTTTATTGTTGTTATTTTTTTTTCCCTTTAACTTGCGCCCTCGGGACCAGATTACAAGAAGAAAGATTGAGAATGAGGTCAGAAAAAAAAGTAAACTCTTAATTTGTAATTTGAGTAGCAATGTTCTGCTTTTGTTGAAAACCATGGTTGCTGTCTTTTTTCCTCCCTTGACAGTGGGGGGAAAAAATGAAAGTGAGCATCTTGCTTGAACTAACTCAATGGGATTATAAGAAAAAAGAAAGGGTTATTCACTACTTCCTGGTTTGCAAATCAGGCATGTGCTTAATCAACCCCCCAAAAATGCTCATTCATACCACTCCTTTTACACTTACATGGTACAAGTATTTTAGAGTTTGATGAGATGAATAAAATAATAATAGAATAAATAATAGAATAAATAGATAAATTTATATTTAGAGTATATAATAATAGAATAAATAGATATATAATAGAATAAAAAGATAAATTAATATTTACAAACTGAAGTATTCCTTGTAAACTAACCAATTGTTTTAATGTCTACTCATTTTAAGTAGTATTATTAGCAGTTCTCTTGCAGTTTTCTGATCCATGCTCCTGTATAGCTGAACCAAAGAATTCATTTGAATGGTAAACCTACAGCTATGATCTTCCAGCTTTCAAGCTTGCCTCAATTTTCCACACTCATTTATAGCTATGAACTGTTTAACTGAAGATGATGACAGTGCCATCTACATAAGAACACACTAGTAAAGGTATTCATTGAGATTTACTTGAAAAAACAATACAGGAAATGTGACTTATACCTTCCAAAGGCCCATGAAGCCAGAAGAAACGTACATCTTCCAAACAAAAATGATGCTCCCTTGACTGCTAACCAGCTGCGAAGCATTTAATGAGGGTGAGGGGGCGGACCCAGGATGCACTGCTGCACCTGATCTCCATTGGTTAGCCACACCATCTCACCTGGGGCTCAGTCACAGCTTCAGGCCATGACCTACCAATTCCTATACAATAGCTTTCTTCTAAATATTTAAGGAGCATGAATAAAATCTAAATCTATTTGCCTGCCCTGATCTTCATGCTAGCCAGAAGCTGCAAGGCGGATCAACTTGACTGTATTCATCGGAAGAAAAAGCACATTTAAAAAGCACAGTGGGCAAAGATAAATTTCATTTATTTCCTTTGATAAAATGACAGCCCCAAATATCTTGCTCTGTCCCTGAGAAGCTTCATGTAAACACTGAACAAGAAAGACAACAGAGTGTAATGGTGGAAAAACTTACTCATGAGAATCCTCTGGGCAGATGAGCGATTGTCCAACATCACCCTCTGAGACCTCCTATAGAGGAGAGAGCAGAGTCACTACACTGATATTTGGCCATCCTTGCCAGCGTCTGCAAATGAGTCAACAAAACTTAATGGTTTGTGTTAACAAAGGTTGCTGACAAATCTAGAATAATCAGTGTGGAAACTTGACCTCTGTATTTTGCCAAGAAGAGATCACAGACCAATTAAGCCAGTTCAGTCTTTGTACCTTACCTAGGCTGAAAGCCAGATTGCAAAGGGTCATGGAAGTCAAAGATGCCAGATGGTGTAACAGCTGTCAAACATAAACTTCTCAGTCACCTTCTTCACTACAGCAGTTTAGACACACGATGGCAATTGATAAAATTACCAATACAAAGCTCTCATCTCAAATGCAGGTGTCTAACCAGTAATTAGAATAATGCTGGCATTTTGTTATGCTGCTATGTTGTTGTACCGATGGGAAAATAAAGTTGATAATGCTTCTATTTGATTTTACATAGGAAGAATAATTGTATCCTGCCTCATTTTAGCACACCTATCAAAATTAAAATATCCAGAATTCTTGGAATTTAGCCACAGATTTCTTAGTACTAAAAGTGCCTTTTTTTTTTTTTCCTATTGATACTGCAATCTTGAGTTAGAAATCTGCATTTTTTTTTCAGACTCAAATAATTTTGTCAATTTGGAGAATACCTGCTACGTGCTGCTTTAATTTTAGCAGTTCAGCTGGACCACACAAAATCACATCTCTAATATTAGGAAACAAATTATGTCCGTAAAATTACATTTGAGAAACAGTTTTAAAATGCTTATTCATCACCAGTTTTCAAAACACAGAAAAGCACACGGTTACTCTGATTTCTTATTCTATGACAGTGAAAAGTGAACTTCTTAAAAACAAACTCTGATAAAAGCGCATTTCTTCTGTCTGCCACTGCGATAAATAGTGAAGAACTTATGAAATTGGAATGGCTTTATTCCAGGTTGTTTCAGCCCACTGCAGTTTAAAAAGTTATGGCCTGCAAATGTCTATGTATTGTAGGTAAATAAAGCTAGATTGCTGCACATGCTCCGAAAACTTACAGTTCTATCTTCTAGATATTTAAGGTCATGTAGGATGTAGACACTTAAGCTGTATTCCTAAAGTTTAAACCTCTTTAAATCTGCTGAGAGAGCTAATAAATTAGGCCTTGAGATCCTCAAGTCAAAGCTAATAGCGACCAGAAGCATTTGCACCAACCCAAAACAAAGCAAGGGAAGAAATTCCCCCAGCTCTTGCGAAGCAACCTATTTAATAAAAAATCTGCTGAAGAACAAGAAAGCTGGGCTCCAGAATTTCCCTCGTATGAAGTAGAGTATACTGACCTCATCTGTCTCCTTAAGAAGATGTCCAAATTGCACAGCTTACGAAACTGCAAACTGCATCCTCCATTTTCTGTTGATACGAATAGCTGAGAAGAAAGAAGTACAAGCTGTGGTTTAAGCAGTAGTAGTGAGCCAGGGAAAATCTGGTGCTGTCAGTGTCATCTCATGGAAGACAGTCATCCTGGTGGTCCCACCACAGCTTTAGAAATTATTGTTTTACAGTTAAACAGCTAAAGCACACATGCAGCATTTATAATGTGGGTCTGAAGCCAAGAAGTGGCTACATTCAAACTTGGTATCAGACTGATGACCCACTAAGGTATAAACTTACATAAAGGCCTTTTCCTACAAAAGCCTCTCAAATTGTTTGAATTTAGGAGTAAGTTCTGTTCCCTTACAGTTACTTTACTTTACTGTAGTTAGAGGATCTCTTTTGGAAAACGTTACTTGTACTCACAAATTTTCCAATGAACAGCTGGCACAGAAATGTAGACGCCGTCAGACTATGTTCCCCTAGTCGTGTTAGACATAGGTGATACATACATACAGTTTTAAGTTAAGAAAACTCTGCTCAGTAAACCATATTTTCAATAGGTATTCTACTTTTTTTCTAGGTGCAGATGTGCAGAAATCATAATCAAAAACCAAATATTCCCAGACAGGAAAAGGAAGGAGAAAAAGCCTAAAAAACATTTGCTTTACTATTTGTATTGGCAAAGAAATGTGAAGTAACTACCACTTAGTGACAAATTGAATTTTATTTTATTTTTTCCTCTAAACTTCCTTCTAGACTTTGCATTATTGCAGTGATTAGGTGAACTGCAGTTATGTTCTTCCTTTTCTCCAGTTATCAATGCTATCCTTTCAATAATAAAAAAGTGATTCACCCCGATGATGTAGAAAGCTTTAATGTGCTTCTTTTCTTTTACTATCCCATGGAGCTAACACATATCAGAGAGGGGCAAGAGATGACAGCTTTTGCACGCATGTTTTCAGCATTGCCTGTGTTCAAAAGAAAAATCATGGTGGGATTCTTTTTTATGTGATAATCTTTTGTTGCATCGATTGAGAAGGGGAGTAATCACTGGGGAATAGCTGCTTTATACAAGTTCAAAAGACTCCCAAAAGAGAAGAAAGTCACGCTTCTCTGCATAATACAACAAATGCCAGAAAAGGTGGGTCATTCTCACTGTGAGCCATAGGACACACAAGGCCAAATTTAACCCTTGTTTAAATCCACTGTAGATATCAGAGGAAGTTAAGTTATCAGAGTAAACTAGACTATCATCAATGAACAATAAATAAAACATTAAGATAGCTCTTTAAAAAGGTGCAGCTTCATGTCAGTATTCAAAAAGACTATCGAAAGCTGTTCACTTGCCAAGCATTGCTTACTATCCTTTGTCCTCAACCAAGTGCTAATTAGCTAATCAGGTCTATTTTCTTTCTGCTCCGTAAAAGTAATTGGTTTCTTATAGGCTGTGGAGTATTACCAGTTCTAACTTAGGGAACCCAGCCTGTTGTGGAAAGGCTAAGTGCAGTGCGAAAGACAGGCAATACATACTGTCTCTTGGACCTTACTTTTCCAAGAAAAATAGATATTCTTACAAATCTGATTATATTGTTGCTAGCTTCTAAGGGCTACATCAAGGCTGACCTGAAACTGAAAGAATTAAACAAGTAAATGATCAATATGTGTAAATCAGAATGGAAACCCAGAGACAGCAAAAAGGAGAGCACAGCTAAACTTTCATGGAGATACTGTCCCAAGTCTTCTGTAAAAGCATAGGTGAGGTCTTGTAGATTTTGTTACAGTTCCTGTTCTTATTGTAAGATTTCAGAAAACATAGTAGCTGCTTAATTAATATTTCAGTTGGAAGCACTCTGGTTTGTATCACTGATTCCAAAGCAAACCGAGGTTGCATAACACCAAGTGGTTTTGAAAACTTAATCATTCTTGTATAAACGTTAGAATCTGATTATACGGTAGAATTCAGCTGTGTAACAAGGTGGCATGTCAGTATACTACTGAAGAAAACATGCTTTTAAACATGATGCATTTAAAACAAAAGAAATCTCTTTGTATTCCCATTTCTGTTTAAATAATTCTTCTCCTATCAAGTCTTTAAAAAATTATTCAAACCACAAGTAGAATTCAGTAGTTACTTTCAGCATTCTCTCCCTAGACTTGTAAGTGAAGTCTTATATGGGAAGTGTGAAGATTGTCTGAGAAAACAGTCTTTCTCCAGGAGATCCCCCTGCAGCCTCTCTTTATGCTAGCAGAAAAGATATGAGAATGTATTTAGCAGCAAGGCTTGATCATCTGCCATCAGACCTGTCATATACCTGTGCTGTTGCACTACTGCAGTTTCAGATAGCACCTTTCCTCTTTGGCAACATAATGGACTCACGAGTGCTACCAGCCTCACACTGGCCAAAGAATTCTAGTGAAAGATTGTGTTACATTTGTCTCCTACTCTTTCGAGAGGATATATACTTTTTCTAGTTGTTTTAATGAGTCTTCTAGGAACTTCTGTTTTTTTCCTACAAATAGAGAGCGCTCAATCTAGAATGCCTTCCATAAATAGAATAACTGTTTTTTTCATAAAACAAGAATATTCAAAAAGATGGAACTTCTTGTTAAGAATGCATTACTAGATGATGGTTTCATAGCCTGCAGGTGCACCATTCAAGCTTACGAAGAATGTTACATGTATCCATGCATGTAGTTCTGAATCTTTTCTCAGGTTTTAAGTTACTGTATCGCTTGAAATGTCTTGCTTATTACATTCACCTGCCACGTTTGCTTTACTACCTAGGGTTAGTAGCTATAAATCTGAAACTGCTGAATAGGCATTGACTGTAGTAAATCAAATTATTTCCAGCTAGAATTTTGAGAAGGCTATCCTTATTTATGCTTGATTATTTAAATATATTTAAACTAGTTGCCATTTATTTGTTAATTTTATCCTTTGAAAAAATAAATATGTCCAGGGAAAAACGTTGAAAAAGGAAAGTTACCTCAAGCAGAAGAACTGTCTTTTTATTTGTTCTGTTGTAACTTTCTGTCTGCTGGTTTACTTGATCTCTGAATGTAAAGACATAAATGCATATTGTAACCTCCCCTTATTGTTTACTAATGTATCCTATCAAGGGGCCTTCAACTGTAATTTTGACTGAAATTTTCAACCCAGCTGGTTGTGGAGCATCCACAGGGAGCAGAATGAAGCCACTACAGTAAGACCATTCCAAACTCCCTGTGGATTAAATGCAGTCTCCCTTAATTCATTTGTTAGTACTCTGAGTTGTACAGTACTTTTTTTTAATTATACAAACGCACTATAAATTCATTCCAAAAAAGCAGTGTGGTGAGTGTTGTTTTTATTTGCTTGTTTGGCATCTCAGACTTAAAGAGCTGTCTTCATTCTCCAAAGCAGAGCTTATTATTATTATTTTACTTTTAGAAAGTTACATTCTGGTTTTGGACAAACTTACTGTAAATGACAACTGATCATTTATGACACTATGGTTATCCATAATACAGACTGCTGTTCACTGTACTCAGGTGATCAGGTGGTAAAACAGCAGATTGCTAATCCTTTCTTGTTTGTACCATATTTCTTCCCATCTGGTGATAATGAAGTTTATTTCCCTAGCTCAATAACCATCATTTAAAGCAGTAAATTATTTACCAGTATCGGTGTTCTTTTGACTAATTGTATGATGGTTTCTTCTTCTTTTTACATATGGGAAAGTAAATGATAGTTAAACAATCTTCTTTAAGACCATAAACTATGCTGTTGTTTCTTACCGAATACAAAAATGGAAAGTTACTTTTACATTATCAGTATGTGTGAAAATCATTCAGAATAATAGTCTGTGCATGCACGTAGGAGACAGGCCAGTTACTATATGCTCAGAGACATTACATTCATTTTACAGTATGTTGCTCCTATGACAACAGTTAATCACTAGAGATCATTCTGTGCCTCTCTGGGGCTGAGGTTTTTTACAATGAGCAATGGGAAAGCTCCAACCCTCCTTCAGCACTGTCCATCTGCAGAAGCAGATGACCGTTCATTTCAGAAATTTGTCCTGATACAGGGCAGAGAGCACATCTGCTTAATCACCCAAATGGCCCATTTTTATAAACGCATACTTTCTTTTATAACTAGCATGTACATATACAACTACAGCCACAAACTCCACTGCAGTTTCAGTGATTGATTTCATTATTTTAATGGGTGATAATCCACATTATGTAATAAAATGGATTTTTTAGGATAAAGCTTTTAAAAAACACTTTATTAGAATATGCTACTTACATTGGTAAGAGAACAGCAGAATAGTTATTACTTAGTGTGTGCGTGTGCACACATATTAAAATATCTGAACTGACACACACCTAGCAACAGTTGCTTGTAAAACATACGCAAGGAAAGAATTGTATACAGCATGTGTTCTGACTCAAACAAGAGAACAATATAGGTGGAATTACTTGAAAGATTGCTGCCCAAGGTCCAGTACCCTACATACTTTCCATATTTTCAGTACTACAGTGCTCAAAATCAACTTCTTTTTTTCCCTTTCTTTCTTTTTCCTTAAGGTAAGAGCAGTATAATTTTATGCATATTTAATTAAGCTATGCAGTTTTTCAGCAGCCAGTAGAGATTTTTTTTTTTCCACTGAGCAGATATTGGGAAAACTTACCAAAAAGTACATGCATCTCTGAGAGAATTCTGCAAGAGTTTCCTTGTACTGGACAAACATCCCTATACAGTGTAGTTTACAAATTTTAGGATATTATTTTTAAAAAAGTACATCATAATTCCCCTATTGACAACATAGCCTGTCTCCCTGTTGTAGTTGAAGTGAGTTTCACTTGACTGCCTAAATCTGAGGGTATATGGGAAACAGTCTGTATATTGTGAAAATTTTTGTCTTTCCAAGTATGATCCCACTTTTTTTTAAGGAGAGTGTGGGAGCTTAGCAAAGAGCTGAATTTCGTAGGCAAGGAAGAGAAATGAGGACGAGAAAAAAGATGAAGTGCTAATAAATCTTCAGACATACCAGATGTCTGATAGTCAAGTACTT